GGTTTCTTGTTCAAAACAACCTTAGCTAAGGGATGATAACCATCTTCTTTATAGGGGAGGAGGTATTGGTTATCTCGTGGAATGTCTTTTGCACATATGTATTTGTCTCTTGTGAACCAGGGGCGGTAGGGTAGCCTAGTTGTTAAAGCGTGCACTCGTCACGCCGAAGACCGGGTTCGATTCTCAACATGGGTACAATGTGTGAAACCCATTTCTGGTGTCCCCCGCCGTGATGTTGCTGGAGAAATGCTAAAAGTGGCGTGAAACTAAACTCACTCACTCACTCACTCTTGTGAACATCTCAAGGCATTTAAGGAAATCCAAGGATGTTGGACAGAATATCAGCGTCAAAGCTGATGTTGACGGTTCTGTACTGCAAGAGCTAAGTGCTATATCAAATCGGCACAGACTCAGATTTTCATAGTAAGGCTCTCTGAACAACCTCTACATCGAGTTAACGTTATGTGTGTTGAAGAGAACAGCAGCCTGCTTGGATGAAGTTGGCTGACAGGAAAAATGAAACAAAAGGTTTTCCTTTTGTTGCTGAGAACCAATTTTACGCATATATGAGACTATGAAATGTCGATTGTGTAATCACTTTCGTGAGACTGTCCCGCACCATGTGAGTGGATGCCCGGCGTATCTTAAGTATCTCAGGCACAGTATCTTCAGTGACATGATGTCGTTGCTCGTTCCATTCATTAACGTCTTCGCCATGCTTGTGGCTTTCCTTTCGAGGTCCATTCATGGTACGACCCAGAATATGTAGAGGGCGTCTGGGAAAATTATATTTCCATGCTTCTTTGGAATAGACTAATATACAGCCTGACACATATCCCAACCAACAAGCCCGATCTTGTTGTTTTTATAAAACCAATGAAGTTTATATCCTATCTCATAGAATTGTCTGTCGTGTTTAGAGTAATGTGAATTAAAAGATTCAGGAAAAAACGTGGCAAATATGGGGATCTGTGAAATGTCTCGCTTGCATCCCAAGTACGCTGTTGTCAGACTCCCCATAGTTTTTGGAGCCGTTCGTTTGGTACCGCCTGGTCTTTTGGCGCAGATCGGGAGAGTGTCCTGTTTCTCATCCGGAGGCATAGCTCTTCTGAGCATAATGAACAAACCTTCTGACGCTGTTGTAATGCAGAAGGTTGCAGTGTTGTCGAGTCTTCATATTCTCAGGGAGGTTCTTGGTGGGTTCGACCAGACAGCGCATCCTGGGAGAAGTCCCATTCGCTGTCTGGGCTGCGTGTAGAGGGGGGCAGGGGTACCTGAACTGATGATGAACTTTAGCATCCTGACTGTGCTACGATCCCCCAACCCCTCTCTGCTACATAATATATTTTAATCTGTAACACATAATACATAATTACATTCACAGATGTATAATTATTCCTTGATATAATACTACACAACAGAGTATAATATATTAGTTTTTCAGGTGTATAAAATACTGATTTACCCCATAATGTAAAACTTCAAATGTGAACCTCGTCTTCATAAGAAAGTAATGAAGAATTCAGACGTTATATAAAATACAGGCTATTCTCGTGTGTGTTAGACATTGCAGGAACACCGGAAACGGTAGAAGGGATCTATGCAGAAAAATATCATCCCCCAACTCATTATCTGTGCACGATGGGACATGTTTCCAGAGGCCAACCTAGTTGAGTCTACAAAACTAATTTGTTTGTCTTTGCTAATGCTAGTTAACGACTCTCTCGTTATTTGCATTTTCCAGGCTCATATTGATTCAGCCATTTACATCACGTTTACAGACAGGAAAAGGCAGATTAAGTTAACAAAAGCGACAAAATCACTTCCATAACGATATTGAAATTTCTGCTAAAACATGGTCGATTTTACGATTCCGACTATGAAATATCATAAAGTTGTGTTTATTAATCAATGTCAAAAATGACGATACCATGTTTGCGAAACGGTAAGCACATCCCGCCCCGTCAGTTGCCTTCGTCTTAAATACACGAAAAGCTCACCTGACAATTCAAGGGAACATATTGTACAGGTGAAACTAGTCAACGGAATCAACATTTTCACACTGGTGAGTCAATTTTAAAGCGTGCTCCACATTACAAGATACTTTTGTTCAGTACATGGGGTTTTCATGTCCTCTGTGTTGATATATTAACGATAAATATAAATGTAAAGCCTTAGGATTGTACCCGGCCCATTAGTCAATATGTATATGAACCACCTGTCAAGTTGATGAGATCTGGAGTTGAACAACCACGTAGGTTCTACCATATAACTTTGTATCCTGCTGGCTTTGGCACCAATGTGAAATGGTATTGGGTCAGTTCGCCCAGGAAACCTTTTCTTAATATCATATATTTTGTATAATAGCATTTTAGCAGATTCCATTGAGCTCTCTCCAGATCCAGTCGTTTTTTCTGTCAGCAACATGAATGCACACTGGTTTGCTGCAAGAATGCTACTTTACTCGGTTTTGGGTGTCACTTTCGATCTAAGACCCAAGTGAAATGGCACAAAGAACACGTCTTCAGTAAGATATTCACTCTGAATCGACCATTGATTGTGTATATCCCTGTTATGTACCAAGATATACATTCTCCAAACCGATTGAAATTATCATTACTTACAGAATAAATAAATATAAATGAATAAAAGAATGGTTAGGCTCATCATCAGCTCAAGGCGGTTGTCCCTCTACACGCACCATACACAACGTATAGGACTGGGGCTCCTTTCACGAAGCAACCTTTACTAAGGTTAACCTTAACTCCCATTCTTTAACATTGCACTAAGGTTACCTTAGTGACTTACGATCACCTTAGTGCTTCGTGAAAGGAGGCCCTGCTGCCTAGTTGAACCCACCAAGAACTGTTCGGAGAATGTGGAAACTTCCTAACACTGTAGCCTTTGGTATTCTCCCCCGGAGTCCTTCAACAGATTATGAGTTACCACTGCACCAAAAGAATGGGGAATCGGACAAGTTGGTACTTGATATTTCGTAAGTTAGGTATATTTCCGCATATTTGCATTTAGCCTTGGCATGTGTTCGTACCGGGTGCTATCGATGGGGCAAGATGATATCACCTTTTCCATCGTACAATTGATTCTGTTCTTCGTATATATTTTTCTGAATCTTACCGATGGCGTTAAAGACGCTAGAGAACTAATGATATATGTTATTTCACTGGATTTCTGAAAATGACAAGGTCGGGTTTGCTTACGTCTGAGGTTTGTACACGAGTCTCCCCATGAATGGACCTCTGAGTCAAAACCACAAGCATAGTAAAGAATTTGATAAAAGGGTCAAGCCTCACTAACATTTCGCTTAAGATACTGTGCCCAAACTTGGTATCCACTGACAAGGTGTTGAAAGTCCCATTCAGTTCATGTCATAATCTACATTTTAATTATCACATATCGACCGTTTCAAGAGGGAAGTGACTTGTCCTGAGCAGCAAAAAGAAAGCCTTCTGTTTCACTTTTAAGGCCAGCCGATTTCATCCAAGAAATGGAGTTTGCACGGTTGCTCTTCTTCTCAACACAACTCGATGCAGATAGTTTTATCTGGAAAACCCGAATCGGGACGGTTGATTATTCCACTCCGCTTGGTTGACGTTTACTTTGTACCGTCCAGCAGTACATGACCATCTACAAATATTTACATTGAAAGTGTGTCCCGCAGTTTTTACTCATTTAAGAAAACTGCGAAATGCTTTGTTTTCCTCTTGTTTGTTTTTCACAAGTAGAAATCTCGATCTATTTATCTCGTTACTGTAAACCTTTCTGTAAAATAGTTGACTAATTTTCATATCAGTGAAGTATGTTGTTTTAACCCAACTCCTGTGTATTTTGTAACATTAATAATGCACGAGCGTTCAGCCGAGTAGAGGATGAACCCTGCATGGTCTTTACAATTTAGAATAAAACCAATTTTCGACAACAAATCCCACAAAACAATGTCTCTGTTGTTTATCAGAGATATGATGAGATGTCTGATATTTGATGTATTTATTTATTATAATGACACACTCAACAATTTTCCAGCTATGTGACGGCGGTCAGTAAATCATCATGTTTGGACCAGACAATCCAGTGTTTGACATCATGAGAATCGATCAACGCAACTGGGTTACGATGACATGTACCAACCAATTCGAGACCACCCGATCCCGTTAGTTGCCTCTTACTTATGCCAGTGTATGCCAAATGCGTATATCAAGGCTCTTGATGTCAGTCGCTGGATTGCCGGGCCCAGACTCGATAATTTACAGACTGCTGTCATATACCTGGAATACTGCTGAATACGTTAAACAAAGATAAAATATCACCTGGGGTATCCGACAAAGGGGTAATTGCGTTTACATTAATATGATGGTTTCGACAACTGTTTGTTATCTTGACAGAAACGTATTACTCTGCAAATATATGTAATTTTGAATTATTCAAAATATAATTTTTGCTGACATTTTTCATCAGAGGCGTCGACTGCTTGTCACAGATAGAGTTTATTATTTTTCGGGTACACACAACATCAATAATTATAACAATATCAACACCACTACTCATTGTGACATTCCTTGCATCCCCCGGCGTGATTTGATTGAAAAACTCACTCACTCACACACTCATTTATTTTCACTGCAATTTTTCAGTTTACTGCAATTTGAAAACTTCCAACACAGAATCTTAAATTGCCGCACCCAACAGAGGGCCATACGTATATGACCCTCATACTCTTTTACGACATAAACTTATGACATAAATCACAACCCTCATCGTTAAGGGAGTCGTCATTGAAGCATTTATACATACATTGAAGGGTTATAGACAGGAATATACCCATGATTTTAACGTTTAGTTAGCAAAAGTCAGGAGTCCTCCATCCGGTGGATTCGAACTCAAATCCAAAGACCTCAAACTGAAAACTTACCAAAATACAAACTCTTGTGCACATGAAATGAGTTTCTGACAGTGCGTGGAGCTTGGGCGCTAGTCCCACGTAATCCAATCAAACGAGCCGTTGTTTACGAATGTCGGCACAAGAACAAAATGGCCGGCACTTCATGTCTAGGGGTATGGAGACTGGCAAGTGCTTGTTCGTCTCACTCAGGAGGTATTGTCTTACTTTCTATTGATTATGCAACTATATAATTTGGATGCACGATCGCCCGACGGTCTCGTCTCTATTAATACAGCCACTTCATCACTAACACCAATAGTGTCACCTGTTTTCGATAGTCTACACGTGACCTTGGTTAGTTGGTAAAACAAATGGTGTAAGACTGACTGACTGACTGAGTTTGGTTTTACGTCGCTTTTAGCAATATTCCAGCAACATCACGGCGGGGGACACCAGAAATGGGCTTCACACATTGTACCCATGTGGGGATTCGAACCCGGGTCTTCGGCGTGACGAGCCAACGCTTTAACCACTAGGCTACCCCACCGCCCCTAAATGGTGTAAGAACGCAAAGTAGATTTTGTTAACTTTAAGGTTCACTGGCTGTGGAGATGAATTTAAAACATAGTTAATGCGATCTATAGCCAATTTTTATATTGTGTTGTCCCCTATAGTTAAAATGTTTTAGATTCAATTACTAGTTTTACATGTATATCTGTGATACTCTAGTTGCTTTACTGTCCTTCGTCGGCAGGTGTTTTATAATATACATATATTTTATTTCAATGTCAAATGTTCTCGTCACGATATGGCTGAAATATTGCCGATGTGACGTTAAATATTAACTCACTCACTCACTAAAACAGAGTTAATAGCTCTATTTGGCTCCGGTGTCGCTCGTTTCACTAATTGTGCCTGTTAGAGGTGTTAGGGTACCTTACACCAAACTCTTAATCTTATCCTTTGCGCTGGGACCCCATTTCACCAGAGACCATATAGTCTCTGATTTCACCCTGTCTCCAGTCAAGCACCTCATTACGAGTTTATGTGGAGGACAATGGCTATTGCACATGCACATCAAGATAAACACAAGATGTAGAAGTAAACTGCTGATCACTAGATAAACATGCACAAATTGTGTGGAGAGAATGTCACAAATGAAATGCCAAGTCTTTGATGATAGCAGCAAAAACACAAGACACATGGGTCATAAACTGATAAAGCTATCACCATTTTACTGACCATATAGAATCTAGTCCCCTACGTTTTTGACATTAATCTTTATCATTTTGACTTGACAGCCATGTTGCGGTGTGTGCGACTACCTGTTGTCAGCGAGACAGCTGCGATTTTGTGTCAGCACAGCGGCGGTCATCCCCAACTTTTGATATCCAGGAATGCAGGATTCTTCAACCGATGTGAGTATTGTTACCTTTTGACATTGTGACAGACAGGTGGTTTCCAGGGACCCAATCCACAAAACTTTCGTAGCACTACGACGTTTGTAAGCCAGTGATTATAGTATAGAGTTACGATAGGTCATAACGTTACGAGCGCTCTAGGGATTGGGGCCTGGGACTTCAAGTAATCTTCTAGCCGAATACTTACTATCTTAATTCACTTTATGAGAGTTCTTGGAATTTTAGTGATACCTGCATTCAAATGAGGATCAGCAAAGATATTCAGGTACCCAAGCTAAATAGGCTGTTATGTTATAATATGGTTGCTCTTTTTTTGGCAATTTCATGGATATATGTATGGAAGCTCCTCAATCTTTATGATTTATTTTGCCATTTAAACAGGACCTTGGGCTCTATGAATACAGAATACATGTAAAAAACATGTCATGCAAACACAGCATTCAGTATAACTTTCAGCTTTTTGTTTGTTTGTTGTTTAATACCGTACTCAGCAATATTGAAGCTATGTGGCAGCAGTCTGTAAATAATTGAGTCTGGACCACACAATACAGTGATCGACAGCATGTGTGAACCAAGTCTTGGGTCTACTTTCATGTGGTTAAATAAAGTATGGTCCTGGAAATAGTTTGCTTAAAATTTTACAAAATAGATTTTTAGTTATTTCTAGCTAGGAGATATGATATTGAGGCAGGGTTTCAAGGCAATGGGGGCTGTGGGGTAGCCTTGTGGTTAAAGTGTTTGCCTATCATGCCGAATACCTGAGGTCGATTCCCCTCATGGGTATAATGTGTGAGCCCAATTCTGGTGTTCCCTGCTGTGATATTGTTGGAAATATTACTAAAAGCAGCATAAAACCAAACTCACTCATTTAAGGCCATGTTTTACCATGGTAATAACCTGATTGGGATTCGTTATTTTCTTGTTCTCTTGCATTGTTGTGTTGTATGTTCTCAGTGACTGCGGATGAGTTGTGGCAGGGGGTCCAAGGAGTCAGTAATGCTGGTAAGAAGCGAGGTCGTGGCAAACTGCGGACAGGTGGCCGACGGAAGATAAACCTCAACAAAGGCCAGGTTATTGGAGAGGGTGAGTGTGAATCTATAATAGCTGGGTAGGAGAATGTTTATAACACAAACACTGTAACATATTGATTGTAACAAGTCTTCATGTGTTGACAGATATTTAGTATTTATGCCGTATCTACCATGGTTGTGATTCATGTGGGGATTATTGGTTATCATTGATCCTTAGCAAGATGTGTTTGTTGTAAACTGTAAAGGTTGACTAAGTGGATCAGGTTGTCAAGCTTGGATGTAGGGTCAATTGGATAACCTTGTGGTTAAGATGTTCGCTTATCACCCGGGCTTGATTCCCCACATGGGCTCAATATGCAAAGCCCATTTCTGGAGTCCCCACCGTTATATTGCTGGAATATTGCTAAAAGTGGCATAAAACTAAACTCACTAATTTCTGGTGTCCCCACTATGATATTGCTGGAATATTGCTAAAAGTGGCGTAAAACTGAACTCACTCACTCAAGCTTGTACATCGACAAACCCTTTTGCTCCATATCAATCACTAGATTTTCTGGTCCAGACTTGATTATCTGTAAGATGCTGTCTTATAGCAGTGATATAATGAGAAACAGGTTCTCGAAGATCTGGGACAGAATTTGTCTTCAGCATACCATGCTTCCAGTTAAATGACACAGGATTTGGTAGTCAGGGTTACTGTCTTGGGGTCTAGGACAATTGCCACCAAAACATAGAATTTAATTCAGTTTCTTTACCAACTTTTATTGAGTTTTACATGATAATTCATAACAGTCTATGATTCTATGCTCCCACTGTCTTGGAGGGTGCATGTTGTCTTGTCCCATTTGCGATGATTAATGCTCTTGATGTCAATCACTGAATTGTCTGGCCCATGTTAAATTTGTGAAAGACTGCCATGATATATCTTAAATATTGTTGAGATAGGTGTAAAATGATCAAACAAAACAACAAACAAACCACAAATGTGAAATCAATTTGCAGCTGTTAATGAGCAGGTCAGCTACAGTTTCCCATCCTCCGAAAGACTTTGAGACTTGTTCCACAATTGTTACAGGAAGCACTGCCATGGTGTGGCCTGGCCTCAACACTCAAGTGATACAGGGAAGCCACCTGATGCGGGTCCAGCAGCTGTCCGCTAACACGCAGCGCATGAAGAGGATCCAGGAAGCTCGAGATAAAGGCACCAAGAGAAAATCTATCAAAACACCAGCTCTTAAACGGGCTACACAGGAGCCAAGTTTCCTGGGCAGAGTGTTGGAGCTCCTGACAAAGTTGGGGACTGTAAGTTTAACTTTCCATTCCTTTCACAAGATTAAGACATTTTTTGAAAATATTTCACTCCAAAACATTCAGTTGTGAACCGTAATATGTTACTGAATCCTATGATTTCATGTTGAAACATTTTGTTACTAAAACACCACTCTATATCATATTTCTTATGTTCATACTTTGATAATGGAATAAAAACTTTGAATATCTTACATACAAAACTTAAATATATGTGCTGTCTGTTGAATTAGAATTTACATAGAATTAGTATGAAAAACACCTGACTGTACTTTTTCAAATATATGCCATTCTCTCATGAAGTGAACATTGTTAATGATAAACATGGAAATATGTTCAACATCCTTGAAACTGTTGTTCTTAACATACCGGTTGATGTGAATCTTCAGATGGTGAAACTACATTTAACATGTTATAAGTCATTTACAGATATTAAGAAACGCACTACCACTTTCCAGCAACTATTCTCGCTGGTATAGTGTATCTATATACATATTAAATTGAACAGTGTTTTGCATGTAGTGATGAGCCATTAGGATATATGCCTAGTTACCATGAAAAAGACCCCATCATCCACTGCTGTCAACAGTCATGGCTTGATGAACCCGAGGAAACAAGCTGATTACAAGATGTGGAAGTCATAGGCTGTAGTTGAGTGGTCATATATTTTTGTCAATCTGTTTGCAGATCAGTTTGAAGGGTTTGACTCAAAGATCCTTGAGGTACTGTATGTTGGGACTACTCTATGATTTCATTGTCGTCATGTTCTTGTCTGGGGAGTGAGTGAAGTTTTACGCTGCTTTTAGCAATATTCCAGCAATATCATTTCGGGGTACACCAGAAATGGGCTTCACGCATTGTACCCATGTGGGGAATCAAACCCGGGTTCTTCGCGACGACCCGCCGAAGCCCAATCGCTTTAACCACTAAGCTACCCCTCCGCCCCTCTTGTCTGGTGCCAGTTGTAACATTTGTTTGCATCTTAAATAATTACATCATGTAAAGTGATGAATTGTTTTGATGGTAGTAACTAAATTCTGAATTAAATAAGTGGAAAAATGAGGTATTCTTTACTTGCCTGTAAGATTGAATGTATAATTTAACCATGAAAGGAGTTCACAACCATGATAGTGTAAGCAAATGACATTATATACTGGATGTTTGTTTTGGGCATATGTGTGAGAGTCATCATAAGGATAATGTTTGTGTTTGCAGTTTAAGTTGGTTGCCAACATGACCGGAAATCTGGGCAAGAAGTTCAGGTCAAGTGCTTTTGTTGTGACGGGCAACAAGAATGGCCTTGCAGGTAGGTCAGGTAGTTTGTGTCCAACATGAGAATTGTAAACCCAGCAGTGATTGATATCATGAGCAACAGCTGATGCCATTTGATAATTTGCAGTGGGGGGATTATGTCACCTTAGTGACAATGCTTGTTTACAATGGTAGCTACACCACTGCCTTGTGACAGTGCACCAACATGTCACCATGGTCCATTTGGGTGATTATTGGTTCTATTTACACTGTTACTGAAGTATTCCAATAGCAGCTGACACTTTTAAAAAGCATTCTGATATGATTAAACCCATCTGTGTAATAGAAATAAATGAAATATTGCAACCAAGTCAAAGTTTGCCATTTTGCTTCCTGTCACTGCTCAAATCCAAGGGAAGTAACTCTAATTTGAAGTTATCCTAATCCTTGCTGATCAGAACATGACAGGTTTGAAATTAGATTGTAAAAACTGAGTTTTCACATGCCTTATTTATGTTTGTTTATGGCTGATTACAAATATTGAACTATCAATTGTTTTTTCATACTGTTTTGCAATAATATCTGGAACAGTCATTAAATAATCTAAATAAAAATTAAGATTTTGATACATACCATATAACATGGTAACTTTGTCTAAATTTGTGCCCATTTTTCATCTGTATTGTGTGATGTAGACTATTCTATTTATTGCAGGTATTGCTCTTGCCAAATCCTCCAGTTTCGACGGTGCCTTCAGGAAAGTAAGTGACCTGGAAAAGTTCCAACTGGGTAGAGAAAAATATCTCAGTCTCTGTTTATCTATAATGCTCATAAATAATGCAGAAAGAAGGTCATAAGAGTTCTGTATTGCCCATAATAGCTTGCACTCTTGTGGGAGAGAAATAATTTTGAGTTAACTGGCATATCCAGATGTCTGAAATATAACTTCAGATCTGTGATTGGCTGTTACATTATGACTGCCTCTGTGATAGTTATTCATTAATAACTTTCTTGTGCTTTGGTAGAATTCACCTGTGTTAGTGTCACAATGTTATGTTTGAACTCATCTGTTTTTCTTTTTCATTTTTTGATAATCATCTGATTTAGCAGAAAATATTTTGTGGAATTTTAGAAGTAAGCAATAGTAAGTTAGCTGGATAGCATCACTCATGACTGTTATTCGGCTTGTCCCGGAATAACAAGAGTTGGTCACGAATGGTCAACCAGGGGACATAACTCCACATAGGATAGCCATTTGTGCAGTCAGAAATTTTCCCCTGGAGTGAAGCGGGTGTTGCACTGCTAGTACATAGATAGGATGGGTCAACCTCGAATGACGTGAGTCATGTGCAGAGTTAGTGTCTCACAACCTGTCATTTCAAATTTCATCCCTTTGGTAATAAACATTGCACTGGTGTTAGGCACTAGGGGTGGGTATTGCAGGAAATATTCATATTGCGATATATTGCGATGCGAAAGCATGTATTGCGATATGTATTGCAATATTTTGCATGAAATATTTTTAAACAAAACACTACTTATAATCGAGTTACTGCTTGATTTATAGAGGAAAAACACAACAAATTCACTATGCTTGATTAAGCTTTAATAACAACTTTTAATCATGATAAAATAAAAATGTGAATAAAATATTTGGCACAAATGAAACAAGGAAATATCCGAAGATTTCCGAGTGTTACGACGTTTTCCGAATGCAAGTCAAAATACCGGTTTTCGATCAGCGTATCGCAATACGTATCGTTTTCATGTCTGAACCGGTAAATACCGGTAAACCGTTTTTTTGCGCAGCCCTATCACTCATGACTGTTATGTTAATAGTTTAAGGTGTTTGAGAACAGATTATTTCGGGTTGTGAATGTCATGTACTATTTGTCTCAAAACTTCATGTTTCAATATGGATATCTTGCTTTGACTTCTTAGATACATTTTGGAACTTAAATAGTATTGGATACCCACTTGTGTAGTAATCTCTTTACCATCCTAAATCACTTGAAAGCCTTGGTGAATGTATATCACATACTATTCCATTACAAGATGGGTCGTTTCATCAATGTGAACACAGTTATAATTTGGAGTGCAATGCATTGTACAGCTGCATCTCATAGGCATCCAGGAAGATGTGATCATGGGTTCGAATCCCTGAACATCAAGATTAATCAATGGTTTGGAAGCAACATACAAATGTTTGTTGGTTTGACTGAAGAGGAAAGACCTGCATCATTTGGGCTTTCTCCAAAATGTAGCTGCCATGATGTAACTGACATGGTTGTCAAAGGGATCTGGGGGCGGTGGGGTAGCCTAATGGTTAAAGCGTTGGCTCGTCACGCCGAAGACCCGGGTTCGAATCCCCACATGGGTACAATGTGTGAAGCCCATATCTGGTGTCCCCCGCCGTGATATTGCTGGAATATTGCTAAAAGCGACGTAAAACCAAACTCAGTCAGTCAGTCGAAGGGATCTTGCTCCTTTTCATAAATAAAAGAATGTATGAAATTTATCTGTTAGTGTTATTGTTATTAGTGGATGTCTAACACAGTAGTTTTTTTGTCCTCAAGGCCAAGAACATGGCTTCTCAGCGCCTGCAGTATGTCGACAGGTTCCAGGGACACACAGGTACTGCCAGTCACAAGAGAGGAAATATATAATGAGAAGACATTCACATTCTGATTGAACTCAGTTTTATTTGGGATAAATTTTCTCTGTAAAGTACAAATTCTGATACTTTTTTCAGTTGAGTTCCAACTGGTAGATAGATTCACAATATAATGTTCAGAATAAGCATGAATGTTGAAAACTGCAGCATTTCTCTCACAGTGACCCCACCTTTGTAGAATGCACTCTTGTGCTTGTTCTGAGCACAGGGAATATGTGTCATATGCCACTTTCACGGACTCATTCCCCAGTTTTCACAGCATCTGTTGGTATCTCCCTCATCCTGTGTCATCTTCTTACAGTGTACCACAATTTCTACTCCAAGGAGAAAGAGACTGCAGTCATGGTCAGGAAAGCACCCAAAGGTTAGTTTGTGATTATACAGGGGAGATAACCCTTCTGCTTTTGCTGCCAGTCAGACTCAACATACTTCTCTCCCTTTGACCATAAAAATGTAATATCATGAAACCTTGCATGTGTCACTGGACAAATATATATTTGCAGATTTATGCAGATATGCCCAGGAGACATTAATTGTTAACAATCAGTTTGCCGAAGTTGGCATTTTTGCATACTTACCATGCCATCAGTCGATATCGTCAGGATCCAAATCCGCCCCACAGATGTGCCTTGGCCCATTGGTGCCATATTAGTAGTTATTGTTTGTCTCAGGTGGTAAATGTGTTTAACCTGCTTTTTACTTTCTCCTCACATTTGGCTGAAATGTTTTGGGGGCAGTGTCTTTTTTGTCCAGAATCTACTATTTACAGGGGGTTATAGTGAAAACGAACCCCAACGGAAACGGCCAAAAAATATTTTGAGAAAACGGCCACCGCTGTTGAAGTAAACGACCACCGCTGTTGAAGAAAACGGCCTCTATGCCTAGAGATAACGGCCATTATATATAACAGAAAACTACATGTATTTTATTTTACTGTTATTCATCTCTAAATCAATATCATAATAAGGAGGCAACAACAATGATAACATAGTCATGGCAATGGTTTAGGTTGTATATCTACAAGTTGTACTTATGTATAATTTGTTTGTCTCTGGATAATGCAATATATACTGAACAGCAAAAGAAACGCAAGTTTCGAAAAAATGAAATCTCATGAAGGTAAGCGTTCATGTTTATGGACCGTTCATGGTAAAGTGACGTAATGATCACAGATGAGATGATGTCATGCAATTTGACGTCCATACGAACCATTCGCACAAACACACCCACAGTGCAGCAAAACCATAATTTTAGCACGTGCATCGACGGTTCTGGATGAAAGGCATGCATTTCACTCTGAGGTATCCTTTATAAAGGTTTGGGTCAAAAAACAGTTCAGTATTGACACTAGGGGATGTACACGCCACACAAACGATGCCTAGACTAACGACTGAGCAGAGAGCAATGGCCATTGGAAAGTTGCAAGGAGGTAGCTCTGCAACCGCTGTAGCTAGACAATTGGGCTGTCATCTTACCACCATTACACGACTTGCTCAACGTCCTCAGCAAACCGGAATTTGCTGCTGATCATCCCCGTACTGGACGGCAACGAGTGACATCTCAAGGTGGCCATACACGCGACTAAAGAGACTTTCACTTTTTCGCGTTCAGGGGTATCTCCATTTGACGGACTGTGATCAATAAGAACTTATTGCAATTCAATGTCAACAGCAACTTTCAGCTGTTAACTTGACAGTGTTGTCTATAGAATAAATGATTGGACATGATTTTTGTTGTCTTCTATTCACAAACTTGACAAAAAGCCAGACTTGCGTTTCTTTTGCTGTTCAGTATATATTATAATGCTATATTTTCACATTTCTTGTTATTGATAACACATATGGTGATACGTGTATCAAATATCAATTCTTTCTTAAAGTGATAGAAATGGGTACCGGCTGGCTGATCAGGGTCAAGCGTGTCTGTCATCACCTCCCCAACAGTAGCGCCAGTCGACCGGAGGATTATTGCGGGCTTGCCTCCTTCACCCGTCAACATTTAATTATTGAATAAACACGAGAAAATGTTATCATTACTCTGTGGCTGGCGGTGAAAGTATTAGATAAGATGATCTATCAATTCTTTTTTTAACCTGTTTTGTCACTCTCACGTTAGTCAGTACACAGGGAGTAGCGGGGTGATTGGATATCTTGACCTGACTTTCAAGTCACACCGGCAGTATTTCAGCCATATCGATCGTGACTAAAAACAAATTATATTGTCGTGATAATTAAACACCTGTGACCGAAGGAAAGTAAAACAACTAGTTTATCTGAGATATGAATTTAAAACTAGAATTTATATTTAAAATGTTTAAACTATAGATGACAGTACAATATATAAAAAACAGGCTATAGATTACCAACAACTGAAGGTAGATCACCATACTAGGGACCATGGCAGAACTACAAGAACCAAAGTTGGAATTAGTACCACTAATCCGCTCGTCAATATAAACACTACCTTATCAACTAGTCTTACCTGTAAAATGTACAATCAATCAAATTGGTTTGTTCATCAGAACTATCGAGACAATCAATCAATCTTCAAAGGTTAAACCGCACTGGATATCGAAACTAAACAAAACAACTGATCACTTTCTAAAATCTTATCCGCAATGAAGTAAATCTCTATTATCTAGGATATATATAATATCCTTTGATCTTGGTGCAACTATGTTTTCTCTTGGTCCGGAGGCCGTTCTCTCCAGCGCGGTGGCCGTTTTCTCGATTGTTTTGGGGTCCGTTTTCTCTGTATCCCTTTACAGGCCACTGCAATATTCCTAGAATGTTGATGACTGGCGTGAAGTGACACTACTCAAAGTGGTGTTGTACCCATCTCACATACTCATTGCTGTGTTCCAGGCCATGGTCTCCGATGTCATCGAGTTCTGAAAACCATCTGTGAGATGATCGGCATCGAGGACATCTATGTGAAAGTGGAAGGGTCCACAGGCAATGTTCAGAATATGACCAAGGCTTTCTTCAAGGGTCTTCAGAAGCAAGTAGGTATCACTTACAAGATGCTCATGCTATCCATCACTGGGTTGTCGTGACAGAATATTTTCTTACAGACAGCCATGACAGAATATTCAGTGTTAAACAATAAACAAACAAAACATTTTATGAATTTTCTTATGTAATATTCTTTTTACGCAAGCTCTTCATCAGTGTTTATGAGTACTAGGAAATGTCCAGATAATCTTGTATTGTGAAAATAACTCTTCATTATATTGCATCTTGCCAGTGAGAAAGACTTTTCTGTAAACAGAAAGTCTCTGTTTGCAGGGGTACAATTGGATAAATGGATTACATGGGCATTGCTCAAAATATAATCACTTGTCTGTTCCAGTCACAACCTAATTTTCTCTTTGAGTGCAATATTCTTTGTGAAATAGTACTTGGGAAAGTATGTTTGGTATGCTTGATAGATGTATTTCTCCATCCTCCTAGGAGACGCATCAAGAACTCTCTGATCGTATGAACCTTCACCTGGTGGAGCTGCGGCGTGAACGAGACTACTTCCCCAACGTCATCGCCTCACCCAGCTCAGAGGTCAGCACCAAGGGCATCAAGGAGGACGTGGTCAACTTTGAAAACCTGTACTTCCGTGGACGAGTGCCACTCTACAAAGCTAAAACCAAGCCCTTTTGGCAGAAGCTTCCTCACTGGTACAAGAAGTGGGCTCAACTGCATGTGGTGCGGAACCAACCTTCTGCTCAGCTAGAGAGGAGAGTTCTTGGATTTGAACCTAGCACTGATGAAAAAAAATTCAGACAATTGCCATTGAAAGGGTCACGAGAGTAGAAGTCTTAGTCCTAAGAACTTTTGTGTCAGTGTTGGTTATACTTGTATGGTATGAGAACTGGCTCAAGTATGTCCAGGTTGGTGCTTGAGATGATCTACAGAGGATAAAGTAGATCCTTTGTGGATGTTTTGTCACTGTGTCCCAGGGAGTGATAAGTTTAGTTGTGTGATATTACTGATGGATATTCTTGGAGACAAGATGTGATGAGGATATATGTGATGTGTTGTTGCTGAAGGATGTAGTGTACTTGACATTTGTTGTGTAGATTATGTTAAAGAGATCTTTGAAGAATAAATCTGTTCTTTCTGTTGCAATTGAATGAATTAGTCGAGATGTCAAGATGCATAAAAAAGCTCCAGGCCCAGTTCCGTGAGATAATTCTAGCATTATTACCATCTGGGATGTTAAAGTATTCCAGCACTGTTAAATATCAGTCGTTACAACTCAAACACAGAGTTTTGTTTATGGAAATTTGATTCAGGAAGTGTTTTCCCCTCAGACACAGGATGTTTGTGAGACAGAAGTGTACATGTGTATTCATTATGTGAGAAATTAAAACGTTCATTTCCAGTGTTGTTTGTTGATATTAATTATAAAGGCAAGAATTTTGTGGATAACAACTTCTTTATTGTGACAGGCGGTGGGGTAGCCTAATGGTTAAAGCGTTGGCTCGTCACGCCGAAGACCCGGGTTCGAATCCCCACAAGGGCACAATGTGTGAAGCCCATTTCTGGTGTCCCCTGCCGTGATGTTGCTGGAATATTGCTAAAAACGGCGTAAAACCCAACTCAGTCAGTCTTTATTGTGATGGACATTTAGTTTCGAAGTATATTCTTACTCCTTCATCAGGTGAATGAAACAATTAGGAGACAGGCAGCTATATATGTACATGTGAAACAACAACAGTTATGAGATAACAAGGAAAACCTTTAGTTAGTTAGCACTAAATGGTAGATGGACAAGTGGAAGCCAGGGATTGTTAATCCAGGCATGGTTGATGCCGTAACAATAGTGGCATTTAACAATGGATAAGAAAACAAATGGAAGCCAGGCTTGACAGTGATGATTATATTAATTATGTATTTAATGCCTCAACCCTTAGTGGTGATAGGCGATCGGGTGGTCAGGTTTGCTGACTTGGTTGACAGGTATCTCATTTGCATGGATTGATGTTCATGATGTTGATCACTGGATTGCTTAGTCCAGATTTGCTTATTTACAGACTGCTACTGAGTACAACATTAACCAACAAACAAACTGTGGTGATAGTGACAAACTGTTAAGTTGTCATCATTTGTAGGCATTTTCAATTAATTCAATTAGATTCATCTTACAAAATGTAGATTTGTGCTAATTATCATATGTAAATTAGGCATGGCAATGCATTTTTGGCAGAAAGCATAGAAATTGACATTGATAGGGCTCTTCGTGTTTTAGGGAAGCCCGCATGCTTGAAACTTTTACCTGTTGTAACAAGTCTTCCTGCTTCAGAATCAGCAGTGTAATGTAATAATATTGAAAGATGTTTTAGAACTAAACTTTGCGAGGCCTGCTTCATTTCCTTTGGAGCACCCACTTCAAATTAACTAAGATGTGGTATTCAGGGACTGTTTCACATGCAAGGGAAATATAACGTTGTTAAAAGAGTGTGAGGTTTTATAACACAAGAAGCTCAAAAACATTGGACATAATTAACCTATGACGTTTCCCACAGTATTGTGGTTACACGAGAGAGTACACATTTAGAAATTAAAGTTCAGTGTTTTCATGGTATGGCTTGGTTTTCTGTTGGTTTAAGTTTATAATTTGAAACTTCACATTGCAGTTTGGTTCCAAATTCAATTTAGTTTGGTAGAAAATACAGGTAAACAGCTCAGCATTATAAACACAGTAGGTCTTATTTCCTAATCCACAAACTAATGAGAGGCAGTTTCCCTGCATATGATTGCAGTTTAGGGATTTGGGTGCAGAGATGACCCTCTGTAATCTGTTTTCATCTCGTTGCTGATTCCAGTACATTGTGGTTCCTTGTATTTGTTGGCCTATGGGGATTCTGTAATTATTGCTGACAGTAGCATCAGCATAAAGACCTTTCCCTGACTGATATTGTATTGTAGTTTACCACTAATGTCCAGGTGGTGGTTGATGAATGGTGCTATTTTGTTGTAATGGCTTTTGAAATGAGAAAGACAGATACATTCACACCATGGGGCGGAGGCATTATTACCTTTTGTCAGGTAAACAGCATGTTCATCCCCAAATGGTTTTGTTTGTTTGCCTTGAGATGACCTTGAAGATCACCATGACTGTTGTCTCATTTCTCTCGTTTTCCTTGCTATATTTCCATATCAGCAATAATGTATTTTGTTTGGTCTTTTGATTGCTTGTTACACAACACTGTACTTGAATTTTCAGGGCGTTATCTACATGAGGTATCACTGGATATGTGAGAAACGTTTAGGAAGTCAAAGGATGATTTGAAGAATTCTTTGAGCACCCACTCTTTCACCAGTGTCTACTTTAAGGGCGTTGGTTCTTGGTGTAAGTACCCGTGAAGATACGGGTTAGAATTGATCTTCAGTAACCCATGCTTGTCGTAAGAGGCGACTAAATGGATCGGGTGGTGAGGCTCGCTGACTTTGCTGACACATGGCATCGTATCCCAGTTGTGCAGATCGATGCTCATGCTGTTGATCAGTGGATTGTCTGGTCCAGATTCGATTATTTACAGACCGTCGTCATATAACTGGAATATACCTGGGTCAAAGTAAACTCACTCACTCACTCTTGGTGTAAGTGTAGCCTAGTGTATCCTGTGCAAGTTGAAGGTGGTACCACAATGTCCTAAAAATCAAGTCTTTGTTCTCTTCTCCGCTCAGCCTGTAGCATGAATTAAGATGTGATTTAAATGAGATTTGTAGTGAGCTGGACCTAGCCCTACACTCCTACATGCGACAATACATGCAATAGGATAGAAGCGACAAGACCCTTTCCACATGGATAAGAAATTTCTGCTAAAAGAAGAGTCGATTGTACAATTGTGACAATATCATGAGTATATATTTCTTGCAGCATTATGGACCATACAATCCAGTGATTGTCACTTGCGATACGATGACAGAGCATGTGTGTATGAATCACTATGAAATAGTGATGATACTTTGTGTTCGCGAAAAGGTGAGCGTATCCTGCCCCACAGTCAAAAACCTTTTTGAAAGTTTTACTGAGGCCTTGAATGTTGTAACCTTGATCATACAACTTCTGAACAAGAGCAAGTTCATTTAGAGGTTCATGTGATGAACAAGGGGATATTTCTTTTGATTGACAACTATTTTATTACGATACATGCGATGTTTCCCTGCAGATGTTAACACCGTTATCAAGCAAGCACTTACATCACTTACAAGACAAATCCGTCATGGTCAATACATTCAAAGACACACCAACTCTTACATCCGATAACAAAGTCATATTTGGAGTGAGTTGTGCCCAAGAACCCTCTCTCATAACGAGTGATGTTTTACCCCAAGAGCCAGACTCGCTGCAGGCTATATACTTTCCTGGTCACCGTTGAAGATCCGGTTTAGAGTTGGTTTCCATCAACATATAGGCGGATCCAGACGGGGGTGCAGGGGAGCGCTCATATCCCTTTTGTCCTGAAAATGTATTATAGACCTTTGAAAATGGGTGAAAATGTTTGAATAGAGCTGATAGTATGTGACTGCAGTATGTAGAGTCAAGGGTATGACCTACAAGAAATTGTTTTGCTTTGCGTTTGTGTTCTTGTTTAATGCCGTACTCGGCCATTTTCCGGTTAGTACATAATGAACTCAGGACAAGACAATCCAGTGATTGACAGGGCAACTGACCTACACAATCGGGATACGACGGCATGCATCAACCAAGTGTGTATGTGTGTGTGTGTGCTCTCAATCTTGATAAGGAAAGGTGTGTGTGTGTGTGCGTGCGTGCGTGCGTGCGCGCGCTCATCAATATCATGGCGGGGGACTGGGCCTGGAATGGGCTTCACACATTGTAGTCCTAGGGATCCGAGTCGGATCCGAGTCGAATCCGGGTCTTCGGCGTAGCGAACGAACGCTTTAACTTCAAGACTACCCCACCGCCCCTTATAGGCGACAATAAGACAGAAGATTTGTTTTGACACTACACACACTAACCGCCCCAATAATATCATGAGATTGCCCCTCGACACTAAATAGGTATATAACTTACATAAGAGTTACATTTATCACTACTGGCAGTACTTAGCGCTTGCATCATACGAGGATTTCAGGTCGGGTTTCTCAAGGAGTCAACATTATCACCCTCAGTATATCTATCTGATTAGGAACACAACAACAACATTTGAAATGAATGATTCATTACGATGATATTAGATCAAAGCCGTGCTAAGACTGTGTATAGCCTTACATCCATATTACCAGGCCTCAGGGCAGGGAGGTGTAAATTGTTTCCTTGAATGGAATGAGTAGAAATGAGAAGGTCGAGAGCTCCAGCCCAGTCTGTTCGCTGTGGAAGCAATTGGTTATTGAATCTGACCGTGTGATGTGTGGACGCGGGACTAACAATGCCGGTCATATTTGCTCATTCATCAACTGGACACTCGAATATCCCCCCACAAATTAACATTGGTCTGTTTCATCTCGCGGTTCCAGCCTGATCGAAAACACTTTTATTTCGTCTTCATCATTCCCGCTTTATTTGCGCTCATATTTCGGGATATTAAATCTGCGGATGTATAAGGTGTGGATAATGATTTAAGGTCCTGTGGAATAGTGGTAGGCGTGGCTCAGGGAATACCGCATGGAAGCACGTATTATATTCATGCATGGTGCCATGTGCTCCTGTTTTTTTTATTGCATTGCAATTATTAGACGACGTGTATGTTTTAAGTAAAACGCGTTTTCATACCCATAATACCTGACACCGGAAGGAAGACTGTTCGTAAAAATGTCCATTATGATTAAATGTTATTGGTCTGTTTTTATGACACAATCACAGAGAGACATGGTCATTGCTAAACTTGGTGTATAAAAAATAATGAACGTGGCATATGACCACTTCAAAACTTGGTATGTAACAGTGGTAAACGAAGTATATTGCAGTTCAAAACATGTTATATGACAGTGTTGAAGGCGATATATGACTTTACTGAACGTGATGTATGCACATGAGTGAGTGAGTTTGGTTTTACTCCGCTTTTAGCAATATTCCAGCAATATCACGGCGGGGGACACCTGAAATGGGCTTCACTCACTGTAGTATGCACATGAACATTGATCATGCACTACCGTAGTACGAAAACACTAAATGTTGAAAACCAAATTCCGCATTTTAAATGAGTGAGTGAGTGAGTTATTATTTAACGTCGGCAATATTTCAGCCATATCGCGACGAGAACATATGTGACATTGAAATGGAAGATATGTATATTATAAAAAACCTGTCGACGAAGGACAGCAAAACAACTAGAATATCAAAATTACAACTAAAACTAGTGTAGAAAGTTAAAACTGGGAGCACTATTTGGACAATACAAGATAAAAACA